AGTGGATTCAATGCTTCTTTCTTGTAAATGATAGGTGATACGGTAAAAACATGTGAATACTTGTGGGAAAGGGAATTTCCAGCAACTGTGAGGGCTCTTGCTAAGCCTTTCACCGACCGAATGGCACTCGAATGGGCCCAAATCTGTTTTAAACAAAAGATACACATGTCTCGTTAAAGTTTGCTTTTTGCATCATGATAAAATGTTACATGAATCAAAAGACATGGCCTAAAATGCATGAACATGCCACTGCTTACTGTCGCTGTAAATTCCAGCAACTGTGACTCTTTTTGCGCTGTACTTTTGGCTTAGCAAACGATGTCCAAACATCCTCAAATTGCCACCATTCGAAAGCCCTATGAATTAACTTAAATTTGCATATTTTGATATTTTTGAAATTCCTTATGAATTTTGAGTTATGCTCTAAAATGTACTAACACGTCATGGCTCACTGTTTTCCAGCCACTATTACTTGTTTGGGACCAAACCTGTAATCTGACCAATCATGCCCGATTTCCTTGACAAGTGAGGCATTTGGCCTTCTCATTTAGCTATTGCTCGAAACATTGAATTTTCTTTAATAAATGATAAACGAATGTTATATGATTATTATGCACGTGCCATAAAATAATGCGAATTGGACTTCGCCACAATGTGCCATGTGAAATAGTGATAATTGCAATATTAATGTGACAGCTTCATGATGGAAGTTTCATGATGAGTGCAAAATGCCATTGATGATGTGCATGGGTAAATGTTATGCTACGATTTATATAATGATTCGTATTAAGTGGCATGCTGTTATGATGATAATGTGATTTATCTGATATGAGGCATTATTGGCATGAATGAATTGACTGCTCGAGCATGGAAAGAGGCCTAATGATGACCACTACACAATGGGACACCCATTGGTAGTGAATATTGTGCTTTTACATTGATGAGAATACCGGCCATTGTTTACGGATACCGGCCACTACGCGATTGAGCACCCATCGGTAGTGGAGATTGATACACCAAGGAGGTGATGCTGGCATATTCCCTAACCTACACAATGACAGGAACTGGTTAGGGGAGAATAGAGGGTCGCTCCCTGTGATTCATGAGATGAGATATGCGATTGATGGATGCCTTGCAAGATAAATGCCTATTAAACCCCCAAGGCGCGTTGGGGTCCGTGTACGTGAATTGAGGGTATTACGAAGTAGATTAACCCGCTTGTCATTACCCTCCCTCATGTGGGATAATAGAAGTCCTAAGCAACGGGATTGGCTTGGCCTGATGGATAGGGCTTTTACTAATATGAGTAGGTGAATTAGGGAGTGATTATGTAATGGGTAAATTGTGATTGTGATTTCTTATAACTAGAATGACTACATGATATGTCTATGATGGATACACCGTCATACCATGTCTATAATTAATGCACTATTACTTGGATTTCATGTTTATAATTGATGTACTGACCTGATGACCAATATACAGGACTACTGCATTGCCACTGATTATATTCGAATAAATTGTTTATTTATCTTAGATAGACTTGTTACCAAAGCATAACACTAGGTCAGCTTACTAAGCATCATAGCTCATTCCATTATTTTTTCTCCTTGTAGACTGTGGGTAGCAGGTTCGGAGTTGGGAGCTCGGGTTGCAGCCAAGGATCAAGGCGGCTACTCAGAGGAGGAGTTTTAGATCTTATAGGTTGTCAGGCTCTCAGCCTTGATGGTACTATTTTCTTTCAATTATGTAACTTTGGGCCTGGAGCCTTGAACTCTGTTGTATTACTTTTGGATGTAATGTAATGTAGCATCGTTTTGGATAATAGTTTGGCCAAGTTTTAAATTCTAGATTCTTATAAAACAACATTTATAATAAGAATCACCCCCATTTCTTATTAGATTATTATAAAACAACATTTATAATGATTTTTAATATTTTTTTGGATTTTTTTATTGCCGAATCCGACCAATTCGCCCAATTCTAGATCCAAACCACCGATTCACCGATCCAAATGGGTTTTTGGCAATGGTTTTAAAAACAAATCGGTGCCCAGATCGAGCACCCAAAAAACCCATCCGGATTGGTGAATCGGCGTTTTGGAATGAGAATCGGACGAATCAGTTGAACTTGGCCCTTACAAAAATTCAAAATAATATTAAAAATCATTATAAATGTTGTTTTTTAAGAATCCAGCTAGAAATGAGAGTATTACATTAATAACTTTTATTTTTTTTGCATCAATATGCGAATATTGAGATGTTCTTTCCCTATATAAAGATTCTCATCAAATATTTATTAAAACATAACTAAATACAGTATTATACATTGAAATTAGAATTATTGGTTTGTATTTTATTATTTTATCATAATTTTACTATACAAATAAGAATAAAATTTAAAATTTTTCTTATAATATCATCTAAATTAAAAATCTAATTTACAACTATAACAAAAAATAATATATGGCATAATTTATAATGTAAATAAATTAAAAAATAAAATATAAGATTTGATTATCATTGTAATTGGTATAATTATTAATCACAATATTATAATAAAAGTGAATAAACAAACAAGGGTATGACCCTCACAAATAATAAATCTAACGTATAATAATTAGTGTTGATAGAAATATAGAATTTAGTAATATAAATTTGAAATCATAGTTTAATAAAATTAGGAAAATAAATAAGCAAATTCATATTTATAATGTGGGATAATTGATAAAGCAACTTGAAATGAATTCTAAAGTAGTATGAGCTAGTGTTATTTTTCTCTATTAAAATATCTCATCAGGTCGTATTTTTTAAAATGTTCAATAAACCTGTTTTAGTATTATTTTTTGTTTTTTTAATATCCTATGAGCTAGTACTAATTTTTTTAATCTCAATTACCTAATAGCCTAATAGTATTCGTATTTTTTTTTTTTGGGTAAGTAAATTTAAATTTATTTGATGAAGGATAGGGGTGGTGGGCTCTATCAACCAATTATTATTTTTAATAATTTTTCTCTTTTTTTTCTCTCTTAATTTTTTTTCAAAAACTCACTATAAATCTCTACAAATAATGTTCTTTTAGTTTCTAAAATAAATTAGGAGTGATGCATTACATATTTTCATTATTTTGTAAAAATAAGTGCATACTGAGATGTTGTTTTATTGTCTGAATGTCTATATAATTATTAATTGTAATATAGTATTATAATATTATATCAAAATAATTTAAAAATATTAGAAAATATTTCCATATTATAAGATTAAAAAGGTTAATTTTCCACATAAATCAATATCACATCAAAGTACCAATCATTTATTAATTTGCTTTACTCATTCAAAATTATTACAATATAACTAACTATAATAATATATATTGAGATTGAAGTTGTTGGTTTATAACTTTATATTTTGTAATTATTTTACTATACAAATAAAAATATAAAATATCTTATAATAACATCTAAGTTAAAAAATATTATTTACAATTATAAGAAAAAATAATATATTACAAAATTTATAATATAAATAAATTAATAAATAAAATACAAGATTTGGTTTTTAGTACATTGAAGAAATTCATATTTGCAATGTGGGATAATTGATAAAGCAACTTGAATTAAATTCTAAAGTAATATGAGTTCGTGTTTTCTTTTTCTCTTAAAATATCCTCTAAACTAATAGTTTTTTAATATTCAATAAACTAGTATTGGTAATTTTTTTAATATCCTATGAGCTAGTACTAATTTGATTAGTCCCAATTAACGAATTAATTATTATTTATCATATAATGAAATAATTCCGTGAGATAATAGCCTAATAGAGTTTTTATGCTTTTTTTATAAGTAAATTTAAATTTTTTTGATAAAATATAAAGGTGGTGGGCACCCAATTATTATTTTTAATAAATTCTTTTCTTTTTTTTATCATATAATTTAAGATATACACGCTTCTTGACGCGCCCATCCCCACCTGATAATAGCACACCCATGTAGGTCATCTCTTAGTCTCCAATTTGGTTTCTACTAGAAATGAAGTTTTTTGGAATGCAAAAGTGTATTAGACGAACCAACAAAGAGCATTCAGTATGGGTGTTGCAGGGCCTCAAACCGGTGGAGCATGCAATTTAATTTTTTTATAATAGAAAAAATTATTGACGGGTCAAATCGAGTGATCCATGACATCACATGCAATTTAATTTTTTTTGTAAAAAAAAGTTATTGATAAGTCAAATCAGGCAATCTACGACATCACTTTCAGTACGATCTGGGATAGGTTGGGTGATATTCGATCCGGTTTGCCCGATTCCAGATCGGGTCGACGATTTTTAATACACTGTACTAATCTTGTTTTTTACATGATCTGAGACGGGCTGGGTGATACCCAATCCAAAAAATTACTGATGAGTCAGATCTGACGATTTATGACATCACTTAGTGAATCATCATCAAGGCGATCCATAAAATCACTTGGTGAACCATCATCAAGGCGTGACTTATCATCAAGGTGATTCTAGCTAGAGAATCATCCGAATCTCGTTTTTCAATACGATTTAAGACATGCTAGGTGATATTTGATTCAAATTGCTCAATTCCATATTAAATCGTCAATTTTTAAAACTTTGTTCGAATCCCATTAAAACATTGTCTGAATCTCGTTTTTCTACATGATCGGAGATGGGCTAGATAAGATCCGATATGAATTGTCTTATGATCTGAATTGCCCGGTTTCAAATCAGACCACCGATTTTTAAAACAATCATTTTTTTGGGTGCCCGATCCGCGGCACCGACCCCTTTTTTTAGCCGTCCTGTATGGCCGTACTATGAAAGCGTTTCTAGAGAGAGGTTACGGGGGCGCGATAATGAGTGAGGAGCGAGAAAATTTTAGAGAGAAGTTCCGCGGGAAAATGAGTGGGGAGAGAGAGAGAGTTTACTTAGGCGAAAAATTAAGAGAGATAAAATGTTAAATGAGTAAAAAGTGAGGCGGGTGTATGAAAATCTGGAAGGTTCGACATTCTCACCGCTTCTTCTATCTCTTAATGCAATACATCATCATCTGTCCATCTTTGCAGTAGATGAAAGAGAAGAGAGAGAAAGCTAGAGAGAGAGAGCGCAACTGAACCAATAGAGCAGTTCCAGCAGGAGAAAGAGGAGAGAGAAAGAAAAGTGAGAGAAATGGGTGTGGATTACTACAAGATTCTGCAGGTTGACAGGAATGCTAAGGATGAGGACCTGAAGAAAGCTTATAGAAAGCTTGCAATGAAATGGCATCCTGATAAGAACCCTAACAACAAGAAGGAAGCCGAGGCCAAGTTCAAGCAAATTGCAGAAGCCTATGAGGTTACCCCTCTATCTCTCTAAGAAAATTGATGCTTTTACCACATTCAATCTTTCTCACGGAAAAAATGGATAAAACATCTCTCTCTATCTCTCTCTCTCACAAACACAACCAAGAATTGGAAACTTTCCATCTACCTCTCTCTCTACCAACCAAAAATAGAGACTTTTCTCCATATTAATTCTTTCTCCCTCTCATTGAATATACAGAGTTGAAAAGATCTTCCATTTTCCATTCATCTCTCTCTACCAAGAAATAGAGACTCTTCTCCATATTCAATATATCTGCCTCTCATTGAAAACAAAAGACAGAAAACATCTTCTACTTCCTAGTTTTCCTCCATGTTCACTCTATTTCTGATAAAGAACAGAAAGAAACATCTCCAATTTTCCCATTTCTCACTTCAAACCAAAATAGGAAATTTCCTCTTCATTCATTTCCCCTCAAATAACGAACTCAAATCATAAATTTTTCATCCTGTCTCAAGCACCAACAAAGCGAAAGTTTCATCCTCTCTCTCACGCACAGGATAAACCAATGTAAAAAGCAAAAAAAATAAAAAAATAAAAAGAAAGAAAAACAACTGTGCTCAAAACCATATCTCTCAAATTCACCATTTCCCCACAATTTCAATTCCCCCATATCTCAAACTAATTCCTCCAATCCCTCCTCTTCCTCAGGTTCTAAGTGACCCCCAAAAGCGAGAAATTTACGATCGATATGGCGAAGAAAGCCTCAAAGCACAAGTCCCCCCTCCAAGCTCTGGTGGTTTCTTCCCTGGTGGTGATGGGCCCACTACCACCACCTTTAGCTTCAATCCTCGAAGCGCTGATGACATTTTTGCCGAATTCTTTGGATTTTCAAGGCCTTTTGGTGGTGGTCGCTCGTCTAGATTCGGTGGTGCTGGTTTATTTGGAGATGATTTTTTCGGGTCGTTTGGTGAGCCATCTCTGAACCAGGAACAATCTCAGCCAAGAAAGGCTCCTCCTTTGGAGAAGACACTGCCTTGTAGCCTCGAGGAATTGTACAAGGGGACAACAAAGAAGATGAAGATAGCTAGGGAGATTGCTGATATAAGTGGGTGAGTGAGAAACTGGTTAAGTTCGTTATTAGTGCTTTAAACTTATATTAATTTTATTGAAATGGCTGTTTTCATCTGTGTTTATTTGACTTTTTGTTTTGTTGGCATGGACTTGGTCTTTGTTGTTTTTGTTGTTCATTGTTCTTCTGAATTTGTTTGTTGTTATTGCTGTTAACTGTGGTATTGGATTTGCGGTCATGGTTGTTTTCTGTTGCGTATATTTGGTTTTTATCTGTTTTCTCATTGCGACACTGTTACATAATGTCTATTGGATTCATTTTCTATCTTGGGAACGTGATTGAGAAGGCTTTCATGAGATTAGCTGCGTTTTCTATTGTGGGGAACTTTGCCAGAATCTGTAATTCGAGATTCTGGAGTGATAGGCATATATTCTGGTTAATCATACAGAAAATGTGATAAATAGAATTATTACAATGTTATGTCAAAGTTTCCAATCTACTGCTTACTCACCCAAAACAAAAGATGATATTTGTAATATTGGGAGCATGATTAAGAAGGCTTTCATGAGATTAGCTGCCTTTTTTATTGTTGGGATTTTGCTGATTGGAGATTCTGGAGTGATAGGCATTAATTCTGATTAACCATGAGAAAAATGTGATAAGCAGACTTCCCGATTAGAATTATGTTCTTTAAGATCTGGAATTACTTTCCAATATGAACTATTGAGGCATGTCTAAATGCTTGTTAAGCCTGACTTTCGTCAAAGAAACTCAAACACAAAATCTTTCACGGACCCAATCTGAAGGCTGCTTGCAAATGAGGGATTTCCCTCATTCCTTTCTTTAAAAAAAAAAAAAAGTAAAGTACAAGCCTCAACAATCTCACTTTTTTTTCTTTAAACAAGTCAGATAGGCTTTATTCAATTGTTAGTTTAGTATTTATGGTTGCTGTAATTACTTCTATGCCATCAACCATCTGTGATTAGATTTTATTGTGTTATTTAGTGGGTTGGTCTCTTGGCTTGGTGGTTTGGGCATTGATGTCTGTAGCATGACATTAGAGATTCAAATCCAACTGGTAACCTCGCAAAAAATAAAGTGTGCCATGAGCAACTGTGGCTGAATTTTTCTTTTAAACTGCTAGATATAACCAAAAATACCAAGAGATCATTAATCTTTATTATAAGGAGATCGCAATTGCGACTAGCTATTAGATGTCAATTGGATGGCTTGGACCTTGGGCAGTGTCAAAAAGTTCGAGAAATCTTTCTTTCGACTTTGAGTCTAGTCAATGATATATTCACAACCACCCAATTTGAAATCTGACGGACCAGAGTGACTGTGACCTCCTTGTATTAAAAGTAAATGGTCTCTTATTATAATTTCCAAAAAAAACGATAAATAGCAAGGCACACATAGGATTTATGTCAGCAATAACCCTGTTGTGTTATCCAGGATTTAGGATCCTCAGGTTTAGCGGATATTAAACAACTCGAAGAATTCCTACCATTTCCCACCAAACCCACTTCCAAGCACTCTAGATCCTTAAGCAGTTTCACCCCATAGTAACACTAGAGTGTTGCCAAATTTGGGCTGCCTTGTCAGACCCTAGTGTCCATGTTAATGCCCTTGGAGCACAATCGTCAAGGCCTCTTGTTACCTATTTCCTCCTTTCCAGGTGGATGTTTTCCAACAATCCATCCATTGTTAGCAAGCTAACCAAGGTTTCTGGAAACATTTTTCTTTGGAATAATCCAATGCTGGCCACTTTTACCACCCAATGGTATGTCTGATAAGTTGGGGAAATCCTGCTCTTTATCTGGGATGCTCCAAAAGTGGCCCTTTTGTTCTCTCTTGATTCCAGATACTTCGAAAATATCTGGAGCACTAATCTCCAATGTGAATATGTGTATTTACACATTATGTATAGATGTATGCACGTGTCTTTGAATATTTGAATCCTTGTGTGTGCATGTTTGAACTACAGTCCTTGTGAGTGGGAATGCGATTCCTCGGTGACAATCATGCCATTAGTGAAGAGATAGCTGCAGTTGATGTATATGGTGGTATGGTTAGCAATACCTGCCATTTCTGTGAGTAGGATTTGAAGAATTGCAAATTTACTGCAATCTATTTCAATATTTGAAAGTTGAAACTGTTGTGCACTACCCTGAGCGATCTATCGTTCACCTATTACTTGTACTGTCTCTTCATTCAACTCAGGTGGTCTGGCACTGTTACAGTTTTGAAATTACTGCAATCTATGTCAATTTTTTTCTTCAAAGAGTTAAGCTCATGAAGATTTGATTTGTCACTTTCTTATTGGTATCAAGATTTACTTGGTAGATGGGGAGCTTCCATAGGGGATTTTTTCATTCTGTTTTTATTGCTTATCAAGATTTACTTGGTAGATGGGGAGCTTTCATAGAGGATTTTTTCATTCTGCTGTTTTGTTTCATAACCTTGTTCAATGTGCAACTGTATCTTTTGGTGTCAACTGGATTTGTTTTTGTTGCGGTTATGCTTGCATTCTGCCCTTTCTTTTTCCTCTCTCTTTGGGGGAATGATGATCACCATTCATTAACACAAACAAATTCAGGTGGTGTTATCAAGGGAAAATTGCTCTATATATGTTGTCACTGTGCTAATCCTTCTTTTGAAAAATAAAAAACAGCCCCATGTTGGCAAACCTGCCCCTTCCTCTCTAAGAGCCTAAACAGTATCAACATTAAAAATTGAATAGTAGCAGAGATAGTAGAACCTAAACCCAAACAGAAACCATCTGCATCTCTTTTCCTCTCCCCTGGAAAACCAATTACTCAATAGTAACAAGACAGTGACATTGTAGAAACCTCATCGCTGCCAATTAAAGATTGTCGTGTTTGCTTCCCTTGGAGCACAAGTAGTACCCAAAATACAGCAATTTTCTATTGAGTTTTCCGACAAGTTAATAAAAGCTTAAAATTGATATAATAATACAGCTAACTTTATTTGCAATGTCCGCAGGAATCGGATGGCATGCAATCTACAAAGGCACAGATTATAACAAATACTGTTTCCTTCTCTTTCCAATTAGTGATATAACATCGAACTGCTCTTTTCGTGTTCAGGAAGACCATACCAGTGGAGGAGATCCTTACCATCGACATAAAACCAGGCTGGAAGAAGGGCACCAAGATCACATTCCCGGAAAAAGGCAATGAGCACCCAAATGTAATACCTGCCGACCTCGTCTTCACAATCGATGAGAAACCTCACGATGTGTTCACAAGGGACAGCAATGACATAATTGTAACGCAACGAGTCCCATTGGCTGATGCCTTATCAGGCTACACGGCTCGTATCAAAACCCTGGATGGCCGAACTCTGACTATCCCCATTACTAATGTTATACACCCTAACTATGAAGAGGTGGTTCCAGGAGAGGGTATGCCATTACCAAAGAACCCTTCTAAGCGGGGTAACCTGAGGATCAAATTCGATACTACGTTCCCCTCTCGGCTTACACAAGACCAGAAGGCTGGGATGAGGAGACTGCTCACGGGCGCCTAGGATTAGGGTTTGGTGGTGGGGCTCTTCAAGCTTGCTTGCTCTTCATGTGAATACAACTTTTCTGCTTCTAGTTTTTTTCTTTTTTTAAATTGGGGTTTTCCCTGCATGGCTCAATTGGAAGTGGCTGTTGTCACCTTGGTTATGTGTTTGAGCTTGGATTAGTCATAAACAAATGTAGAAAGAAGGAAAAAGTTTATGGTTCGCTGTTGACTCGCGCTTCCCGTTTTGAAGATTACCAGTCTATTTGCTTTTGTAAAGCTGAAAGGTATTTTATGGCTGAAGATTCCCTGTTCTTTTTAAACAGAGGGGAATTTATCCATGGAAAATTTTTATACAAAGTTGCAATCATATACTATAAACGTAAAGTGCATTTCAAAAATTCAATAGAAAAGAGTGTTCCGAAGTTGGAAAACCCTCTAATTGATGATTATCTGATTTTGAAATATATGGATATCAAGAAAAAAAGAATTTTAGCTCTTGAAAATAGTAAATATTGTAACACAGTATCTGGATTGTCTATTTTCAATATTTTCATGTTTACAGATGTGTTATATGTGTATTTTTTTTAGAATTTTAAATTTGTAATTAGGATTAAATATGGATTTTCAAGTCAAAAGGTTTTCGATACTGGAGCTACAAGTTTTGATAAAATTTAGATGTGCATCTTACTTTATATGGTATAGGTGAGAATCTTGTACAAACTTCACCCATTATCAAAATGTGTCTTACCTTTCTTATTTAATTTTTTACAACTCATAAGTATACACAATTATTTTATTTAATTTTTTACAACTCATCATAATACAAATAATTATGAGTTCGAATACTTTAAAATGGTTAGAATGTTAGGTAATTCATTGTTTATTTTGATTAACCTCCTTGAAAAATGATGTATGCAACCACAAGCTTAATATCTTTATAACTAAAACTGATACTGAATTTTGATTATAAGACCACCCTCAGGATCTAATGAACAGAAGTGTACATGGCATAAGTTTGAACAAATCCCTTAATAAAGTGACCAAGAGTCCTGGATGGGATCTGGAACAAATCAATTAAATTATAAACATAGGTGTTCAACTTTTTCCGGATTCTTGTTGTTGTAGCCCACTGCAAAAAAAAAATGATGTTCATCCTCAATAGCATCTTCGGCACAGAGCCAACAAGTGCGCTCTTCTCTAAGAATTTGAATCCATGTTCTTGTTTCAATATGAAAGTAATGAGATCTCATTCATTCTCACCCTACTTATCTGAATCCATGGATCAAAAGGGATAGGATCATTCAACTAGGTTGTTTTTACTGAAATTCTTCCTCTAATATTAATCAAATAAAATTGTTTCTTTCCTTCTACTCCCTCCCAAATCCTTTTGAGTTGCTTTTGCCAAACAATTTTTTGAAGGTCCCAATAGAAGGTTTGCTCATCGATATTCTATTTCAAGCTTTCCTCGGTACAACCAGTCCTTATTATGAGTAGCAAGGATAACTTCTTTTGAAATTTCATCAATCACAGAAGTTGTGAAGTATTAGCAAACATAACAAATGACAAATTGCCTCAACTTCCAGAGGCATCAGCTCGACTTCTAGAAACATAATATCATATTAGGCTAATATGTTGTTTAACCTTGAACTCCACTCTTCCAAAGAAAAATGTTTTTGAACTACTTCTATTTTCTTGCAATATTTGTTTGCTGATCCAAGGCTCCAAACTGCACAACCATAAAGGACAGTTGATTGTACTATAGTACAAAAAAGTTGGCTCCAAACATCCCGACATAAGATAACTTCCTTTTTGCATCGGCTTCTCAATACAAAGAAAGCTTTCATACCTCCTATAATTCTTTGTACAATGCATTTATCCCATTTGTAATTATTGGACAATTCTAAACTCAAATATTTATATGATAGAACAATCAACCTGCTCAGTTCCTATTTGAAAAGCCAAGTCAATATTTTGCGGATTACATACCATAATTTTAGTTTTTTAAACATTAATATTCATTTCAGATAGATTGTAGGCCCTTGACCATATTAATATCATTTGTACAAGTTTCCATGATGCGCTTATCAAGTGGGCTCCGGCAGCACTGCAGACAGATTGCAGGCCCTTGACCAAACAATCCAAGATCCGGTATGTTTAAACGGTTTTATTGTGGGATAAACACACCACCTGATCAGCTGTGGGACACCTAAGACTCTGTTTGATGGGGGGCAGCCCAATCTGGATCGGCCAGTTCAACAATCTAGTAAAAAGTTTCTGAGTCAGCCGACTCATATTATATACGTACAGTTCACCTATCAAATTCATCATAAACAGATATTTTAAATATAAGATATTAAGGATTCATGATCTAGCCAAGATGATCATGAATATAAAAAAATTAAATAAATTCTCAATAATTAAAATCTGATTCTTTTAAGGACATTTCTACAGTCTCTATCTATTTTAGTCATGCGCCAACTAACTCATGAACAACTTATGAGGAAATACACACACACATATACATTGAAATATAACAAATAATCCATAGTGGTTATCAGTTAGCCTCTGCAACTCAGTCACGCTAAAGCTATTAACACTTCATGTATCAGATGTATTATATTTTACAATTAGATGAATAGCCAATTCAGCCCAAAAACACAAACATTCCCAACTCAAATTGGTGATTCTCAATCTAGATCGGTAATTTTTAAATCACTCCTATACTTTACCTGTGGAATCCCAAGCACATTTTAATCCCGAGTGGTTTCTCAAAAAAAGATATCTTCGGGCGGGGGGGGGGAAGAGAAATCATTCTAATAACATCAAAAAAAAAAAAAGATTTCCTCAAATCTCACATGTTTCTTGTGAGATCACTTGTCATGTAAAAGCTGCCATACATCCGTGCCTAGCAACCCCTAAATGCTAGAAATCAGGATTATAGAACCCCCCACAAAAGGGTGTTCACCTCAAAGAACAAAAGTTATGGCCTGCCGTTGATACACTCAAAAAGTGTTTGTTTTTTGTTTTGGGTAAAATATTTTTAATTCTCAGGCTATGCAGCTGTTGATGCTTCAACATGACGATCCGATTTCCTCCTCCTCGCTCTAGCTTCTTTCCCACAGCCCTCCTTCAACTCTTCTCTCCGCTTCTTTGTCTCGCATCCCTTGACTTCTGCACGGGAGCTCCTCTTTTTAGAAGCCGGGAAACTAACATCATCACCAACAATATCTTGTGTTGGGTTACCCCTCGGTAGAGGATCATCATCATCTAGTTGCCAATTACCCAACATCTCCCCATAACTTGGACCTGCTCTCGTAGCTGTTTCCTCCTCCCCAGAAAGCCAACTCCTGATCCAATCAGATTGAGCTTTCCTTTTAACCAGTGCTGGGTCTGGCCTTATTATGATCCCGAGAATGCTTCTCTTTGGGCTCAAGGCCATTATGGTATTTCCATCTGTTAGCAATGAATGAGCCATTGCAAAGGCTGATCTCACCTGCGTGCAGGACGATCAGTTGAAACCACTTAAAACCCAAGAAAATAAATGATGAACACTACCAAAATAAGATGGACTTTGTTGTGGTGATTAACATGCATTGTGTATTAAAGGATTGCAAAAATGAATAACAAGGAAGCAGCACCTGGAAATAGTTGTAGGAGTTCTTCCCAATGTCATTGTCTGGTGCCTAATTCATTGAAATAGGAATTAGAACTTGGGAGTTTTAAAGCAAAGGTAATCAGAAAAATATAGTTGATAGCTGGAGCACAAAATAGATCACCTGTGGATCCTCAATGGAGATAAAATGAGGGCGTTCCTCCTGGAGAAATCTATGGGTGGAAAAAAAGAAAGATAAAAATAAGATAAACCATTTTGCTAGACAGAATAAAACAAACAATGACTGGCATAAGAGTTCAAGAAGTAAATAAAACGAAATACATGAACAAAACAAGTAAAAATGAAAGATTGATGAATCTTAAATGGTTACCCTTTGTTGCGCTTCAAAAAAAAATTTCCTCCAGAACCACAAGAGATACCAACATCCCATATGTTCAATTTACGACCATAAAAATCAAAAAAATTTACCTGTTCAGCAGGAAGAACTATATGAGAAAATCAAATAACATGAAGTGCATTTGAACAATGTAAAACTTTTTTCAACAAATGCTGTCTAGGAACATTAATTGATTTGAAACAATTGCCCGCCAAAACACAGATATAAGGTATTCAAAATCTCAAACATGAGCAACAGAATTAATAGGTGAAAAACTAAAGGACCCCAAACCATGCTAAAACACCTTTCAGAAAATTTAACAAAGCATTCTATTCTGCCCAAGTAGATACTCATTTCTATTAAAACATCTTTCACACAGACCATGCGGCGCTAAATGCATTTCATTCTCTCATTCAAGTAAAAAGTAAAAAACTTCGAAGCTGCAGTCCTGAATAAGTACATTGTAAAAATCAATAATTTAAACAAGAAATAACAACATACTGCTTGCCCTTAGCACAAATGTTATTATTGCCAAAAAGAACCATAATTTCAAGTGGATTAAAGTTAGGCATCTTTAAGCAAACATGTTAGATATTTGATCATGAAGCAAATCTGTAAATGGAAAATACAAAAGAATTTACTGGCTGCAAAATAGCAAAAAATAAAAACATACCAGAAGAACTCCCAGGTTATGTTCAAGAACAGTTCTTTTCCCATAGTTGTTTTGCCCCTTCCATTGCATCTGATGATGAAAGATTTGTCATCACGGTCAACAGGACAGTTGGCAGAAAGTAATCGAAGAAGTAAATTCATGTGATCAACAGCAAAGAGTAAAAGAAAGTGATGATAGATTTAAGGATTTTGAGAAAGCATGTATCCATAAGCTAAATTAAATAATCCATTACCACTAAAGTAAAATCTCATCAAGGTAAGAGTAGAAACATAAAATCAAATGTTATGTTGCATGAATGGAATGTTTCTCCCATGATATGTGATAATGTTTTAAGAGTGATCCACCCTTATTTTCACTAAGGATCAATTTTCAAAACAGAAGAATAATTTCCATCTAACATTCATCAATGACTCCAAAAGATCTCAGCCATCACCAACCAAGGTACCCATTTTGTCCCAATTGTCTTTTTCTGGCATCTTTCCATCTCACCTGGATGACATTAACACAATCCCAGCTACCACATGAGAACCTGCCACACCTAAAAATTATTTAATGGGCAATCATCTTTGTTCTTCCTTCTCCATGTGGCAGCTAGCATAATGGCAACTTTGGAATATCTCATGAAGTAATTCAGATAGTCTGGACAGACAAAGAAAATACACCGGGTTGCATGGAAAAAGGCACATTCTCCAAAGAAAGCAGGGGGCTGACTTTGGACCAACAAAGAATATACACCTGGTTGTATCAAACAAGGTGCATATTGTGGAGCATAAATAAGTATCTAGTCTTGTGGAACACTATCAAGCAATTCTCTCTTCTGCATACAGTTCTGGCAATTTATCCCATGCATCACTCTATCTTGGTTGTTAGCATTTCTGTTTCCATTCTAATCAGAAAGAATCCTAACTCATGCATTGTCATGTCAAGGAAAACTTCTTGCCAAGAAAATTTATAAATCCTCAACACTCAACCTAGGAGTTACACTCATTATGTGATTAACTTCAGATGATATCCTTCCATTTCTAGTGCCAAGCATGTGGATATAAGACGAACAAGAGTCATGTGGTACTCTCCAAATTCCTTAGGGAATGAGCGAATCAAAGTCTAAGATTATATGCATTTCTATCAAACATAACAATCACCTCAACATGGTCATCCTTAAAAAATTCTCTTGCGCTACTCTTTAAGCAACACTCTTGAACATACACTAAAATACCACATCGACCTCTAATATCGTGCATTTATTCCCCATTGTGGCCTCTTAAAAAACGTTAATAGTTACTGAAGTACATGGATCTATAAATTTAGATAAAAGTAAGCCTCTTTTTTTTTATATTGCGTTTGAATCTTTTACCTCTGTCTATACAGTAGTTTAATTCCATACAATCTACCTGATCTAAGCCTTATTGCAAGCACATTGGCAACACACACAAGGAGCTTGGTCCTCTTCACAATATACGATCCTAAAATATAGTTGATGTTGATCTTCTGTCTGGTGAGAAAGCTATAGATTGCCCTTGCTCCTTAGGTAGACAAAGTGAAGACTAAAGCTAATGCCAGACAAGATTTCAACATATGATGCAATAAGATTTTTGTTACCTGCAGATATGCTATCAGCATAGCAAGAAGTGCATAAGAACCAATTCCACCAGAATATACCTGTGAAATGTCGAAAAAGATATAGCCTTAAGCATTGATACAAATGATATTCTCACCTATTTCAGCTCAAAGAAGAACCCTGCCCACAGCAGGAGTATCCAAGGAAAAGAATAACCTCATTAAGTTCCCGCTGTTGTAGGAAGATCTTCAATATCATACACAAAGGCCTAAGAGGAGGTATTTTAGCCACAGCATCCTGAAAACCTTGTATAATTAGCTCATAAAAAAGTTACTAGTTTCATGTAATTATAATATTGAAAGGAGATAATATGCTCAATTATCATAGTCTATTAATAAAATAACATAGACCTAAGTTATCTTTTATTTGATTAAGGCATGTAGAAGAAAAAACTTAGCTACAGCCCATATTGAATGATACATAGAGGCAGGAAGCGCGTTGTTCAATAAATTTCCACAAAGTACTGATGAGAACACTGATTTTGCAAACAAGGACCAAAAAACATGATAAGTGTGTAGGACAGAACAAATCCAATGTCCAGAAAACTCTGATGCTCTTGAGCAATCATACATTGCACAATTAAAGAGACTCCACGATTTGTACCTACAATTTGTAGGGTGCAACAAAAACCTTTTTTTTTTTTGAGAAAAGAGGGTGCGACAAATACTTGGCAAGAGAAAAATTCAAAAATAATATCGAGCAAATACAACTCATCGCAATTTCAATTCTAGACAACAATAATAATAGTAGTAGAAGTACATAAGGAGTGCTTGTATTGTGCAAAAATCTCAAAAATGTTTGCATAGATGCTTATACTTTCCTAATTGATATTTTCATAGTATAGAAATACAAATGGGAAAATATCTCCATATCCCCTATTTGAGGTTTCATTTATTGATAAACCCAAGGTTTCAAAAGATATCTTCTAATCCCCTGGCCACTTTAAACCTATTTTTTAACCAAAACAAATGTGAGAAAGACATGTTTTTTCTAAACCCAATCCTTTTTCTCTCCACTTAAATACCCCAAACTTTTTTTTCTCTCTTCCTACAACTCTCACTCTCTCTCCTCTATGTTTCCCCAAACACTTCTCTCTCTCCTCCCTATAACCTCTCACCTCCATGAAGCCCTTCTCTCTCTCTAGAAGTTTGGGAGGATGGCGCTTAGAAAAAGCATGTCTTCCTAGATTTGTTTGGCCTAAAAAAATAAGTTTAAATTAGCTCAGGGGGCTAGAAGAAATAAAATCTACAATTTTTATGCCCCAAGATATCTTTTAAAACCTTGGGTCTATTGTGAAATGAAACCTAAAAATAGAGGGTATAGAGATATTTTCCCAATACAAATACCGAAGGGCGTACAAGAAGGTCAGAAGTGTCTAGTGTCTCTTGCTGGCCACCACTTGGGACTATTCTAGTAGAATTTGAGAAAGAAGTTAATTGATTAACCTGAGTAAAATTTGTCGCTTGCGTCTTAACTACTACAATGAAGATTTGCAAATTCAGATTCTCCACTGAAATATCAACCCAAATAGACAAATGTGACCAGATTTCAATAACATACCATCATGAAGTTTGCGGCCTCAGGCCCATTGATAACATCAAAACTGGCATATGAAGGAATTCAGTATAAGAATCTTGTACTTATCAATTAAAGGAATAATTTCAAACCAAAAAACTAACGTCTCTTAGTTTCAAAGTGAGAGTCCGTTAAAAATGCAGTCAAAACAATTAATAAAAGTCAAATTCAAGAAACTATCTTAAGCAGGCACGAAAAGGTTGTAAAAAGTATACCATAAAAGATGATACACAAGGAAAAAATGTTGACAGTGATTAAGTTTTCAAGAATGCAAACTGATCTAAAGCACGACACTAGCAAAACAAAAGCAGCGACACAAATTCAATATGCCAAGACAATCAATTAATAGTCAAAATAAACACTAGTCGATTAGTGACATCTTAGTTGTATGCCATCCTTTCAGGCAGTTTGAAGTGTAAAACCACATGAATATCAATTTCATTTCATCATATTTGTCCAAAAAATCAGAAACCAAATCTTGTACGTACAACATGCACAAAAATAAATAACTTCTTGAATCTCACTTCAACACCAACAGATATGGGCATGACAAAGTAGATTAGGGAAGACAATGTGTAAATTCCAACTTAGTACGTACAGGAATACAACCAGAGAAATTTTTCAAAGAAAGCAATCTACGAAATTCAGAAATCTTGTGAAGAATGAATCTATGAAATTCACATATCCAAGACCCAGAGAATCTATATTGAACCTCAGAGATGAAGAGAAATCATTTTTCTCGCAAACACTACAAGAAAGGGGTATAAAATTTAACCAATTGAACCAGAGACCAGTTCTGGTCTTTTTCAGCAGCTCAAATTTCTCGAAAGCCACAGATATTTGATAGTTTGACATGACTGCCAGAAAATAGAAATGCTTCAAACAAGTTGAGACCGCCACCACCAACTATAATGCTTGAAGACAGGCAGAAATAAACAGATACTAGTCTTGTGGTCCAAATCTTTACAATGCTCACCAGTCACCACCACTTATCAAGAAAGTGCGTTTCAACTTTCAACTAAACTAGTGACAACATAAGGGAATTCCCTAGATTTTGCTCCAGCAAGAGTCGTCCATCTCAATGGGACCATGCGGTGTACCAGAGTCTCATTTGTTTGCTTCAGTTTGTTTTGCATGCTCAATCCAAATAGCTATATAATAGTTATAAAATTCCATGACCGATACTCTAGCTAATTTGGGTAGCCATTGGCATATTTCCTCCCAATGTTGTAGATGGAATCTGTACATATATCCCATTGCATGATGGAATTATCAATTGCCCAAGTTAAAAAAAAATAGCAAACCACTCCATGCAAAATGTTTACCCTCAGATTGTATACTTAACAGAAACAAATCCTTGGGAGTAAACTAACTCCCAATAATAGTAGTAGTTGTCCTAATCACCACCATCTTCAAAGAAACTCATATGAAAAATGCTAGTTTGCCAAAAAGGCAAAAGCACATTTATCAGTTTATCTGGGTTCCGAGGCCAGCATAGACGGAAAAAATAAACCGCCCTAATATAGGCCTTAGATGGGTGCCTTAAGCAGACGTACTCTTAGGCACCCACCTAGGCAGGCTCAAGACGGGGTGCCTAGGAGGCCAAGACAGGTGCCAAGTGCCAACCCATTAAAAAAAAGGGCTAAGGCCTATAAAAATTGTTAAGGTCCTTCTCTCTCTAGCTCACAGTCCCCACTTTTACTCTCTCTCTACATATAAGAAGCAAAAAAAGATGATGGCATCCTGCAATTTTTTATCCGGATGGGAATTGGTCAGGACTAAACCTGTTCTGGGACGGTATCATGGATGGTATGGGTCCCGATGCTCTTCCCCCCTAAAAAATCCTCTCTCTCTCTCTCTCTCTCTCTCACACACACACACACACACACACATGTGTGCATGCACGCAGGCGGGAACACACACGCACACACGTGCACAGATATTTGCACAGTTGCATAAGCAGAAAGGTGCTTTCAGCCCCAATGCACAAAGAAGCTTAAGGGTTCGAGCTATCCACTTGGACCACAATGTCAATTTTTATCCAACAAAATGGTAAAAGTGACAGTCTGAAAATTGTTGGTTCTCTTTTACCCTTTCCATTATAAAAAATAACAGCCATTAATTGTGATCAGCATCTTACCCAAAAAAGTGGATCAGCACATTAACACTGCATACTCTTGCTCGAGGGGTGATCAAGCGATATTCAATGTAAATCCCTTATACTCTATCTAAGGGTCCAAGGGAGATGATCACCGATATCCTCTGGAAAATCTTAATCACCTATCAGTGCATGAATAACTATTCTTGAGGATATATTGAGGTTTGGCCTCAATGGTGAACATGGAGCGCATACCAACACATCTTCACAAACCATGAACTACAAGATCACTCCTTTCATTCTTTTGGCAGTTAATGAGTGATAGCTTTTTCAATAAAAAAGGCAAAAAGAACCAACTGTCAACTACTTTCATGCATTTGGATGCTTTGCACTTTTATTAGACAAAAAAGAAGCACGGTCCATGAAGACAGCGTGAACTACAAACTAGCACTTGCATGTATACTCGAGCTGATGACACACCACCTAGGTGTAAAGTGCAAAGTTTGCTTCAAAGGCACTTGTGAACAGAGCACTTTTCATGCATGAGCCCATCATGTGCTTCACATTCCATATGGGAGCCTTCTCTCTCCTTTGTACAATAACACAAAGGAAGAAAGAATCGGCTCAGACATACGCATCTCTCTCTATCTAAAAAACCATTGTGAGACAAAAAATGAGCAACAAAAGCTACAGTGTGCACTAGCTGTGAAGAAAACGTAGTGAATGACCTATTCCCCCTTTTAAGGTTGAATATGACAAGGACAAATTTTACATTTTTGAAGAAAAGTATATTACATTGTACTTTGGATTATATAGTTTATTTTATTTTGACATGGTACTTTGAAATAATAACAAGTATTTTTTCATTATAAAGTATTAAGAAATAGTAGGTCCATTTGAAGCTATCATGAAGAAAAATGTCAATTTCTCATTTCTGTTTCAAATTGTATTCACTTGAAGCATTGACATGATATAATACATATTTACAGTTACCTTGCTCAAGAAGGAATTGGCTTTCAGATAACATAGTTCTTTGGTTGGGTGAGGTTTGTATAAGATGTCAACCTTATGCCATTGAAGAAGGCACATCTAAAAAATATTCCAAAATATGCAATTTGGAGAAAGCCTTACAATGGCATGAAAATTTAGTCACCCATAAATATGAAATTTAAAGCTACAAAAATTATGCAGATCCAGCAGATCTATAAATAATTAAAAATCTTGAAAATGGATGGTCCAAACAATGTTTTACAAGATGCACTATTTTAATGACTGTCACTGTTTTTTTCTTTTTCATACCCATACATCTCGACCTCAAGATGATCAATTTGAGGGGTTTTTTAGCATCCTTACAATCTTTTCCAATGGATTTTTGAGGTGCGCCTTACTTCAATAATATAAGGTGGACACTTTATATAGACTTTTTCCTTTTCTTTAAAACATTTGTCCTGATTTCTAAGTGATTAACCAAAAAATATAGGCAATCATGACATGCCAAGAGACCTTAAACGTTTTGCAATAATAATGTAAAAACGTGCTGCCTCTACTGAATTCGCCCAATCCCCACAAGACATAAAATGCATTTTTTAATGAGTGTTTGTGTACAATTCTAGGCATGTATCTGAGGTAATGCAGGCATGCATTATATTATATGAATTCATATGTATATTTATAATTTATGTCTCCACTACATACTTATGCCCATATCCATGCAATATAAGGTTATGCATGGATTTATATATGTTGGTTCCCAAAATAGTGAGTTACTGCATAAGAAAAATCATGATGGCAAAAAATAGGTAAACATCGACACACTATGGACTGAATTTAATGATAACTGACTGTAACATGATAATAGAATATTCATCTCAGGAAATGAAGCAAATAGACTGATTGTAAACCTGTTAACCTGATATCAAAAGAAATGCCACTTTGCTTTTCCACGAACTTAATGATTGGCACACGAGCCTTTGCAATTACCTGAAGATGAAAAAAATGTTGAGAACGAATCTCTCCAATGCAATTATGAGAGCAAGCATAGGAAGAACTTCTTTACCTGAATTTTTTTAGCAATCTTTTTCTTCGATAGAGCTTTTGCAAGAGCTTGCAACCCAATTTGAGGTGTTCGGACATTAGACTCCAATATTACAACCTGTAATAGTTATACTATCCAATTGCGGTAAAAGACAATTCATTCTGTGTTTGTCGTCAATTTAAACAGACAAAATTACAGGTTGACCAAGTTCATATTGTATCATGCAACCATTTTAGTTCTTGACAATGAAATACTATAAAGAATGAGAAATCAAGTAATTGATTTCTCTGAATCTCTGAACTCAGCATGAAACACAAAATCTCCTCTTATGGTGGTGTAGCTGAAAAACCCCACTGAGCAAACATATCAAACACCTTCCTGGAACTGCTCGATTGAAAAGAAAAAAAAGGTCATAAGAAAAATCCACCAGGTATCTATGACAAAGGAGGATCTCTCCTTAGCCATCCGATTATGTCGAGAGGGATCTGCCTCTATAAATGTTCCCCTCGTAGACATGAGATCGAAGCAGCATAACTTGGAGAACTCCCGCCGACTGCCCCTAACAATCCACAAAGCTTCTCATCACCATGGAATTTTTTCCCTAGTGTGCCCCCAATATAGGACACAGCCACATCTTATTTCGTGCTTCCATCCAGTATGAGTTCAACAACCCAAGCGGTAGAAGTCAAATCCACACCATGAAATTTTATATATGGAAAAAATGAAATGAAATGGGAGCACTACAATCTCCTGAGTCAAAGATACTTTCAGGGTTTTTTTTTTCCTTTCCTTTCCAAATATTTATTCTGGTTATTGTTAGAGAAGTGGCTCCCACCCATCATAGGTCCAAAGGAGTGAAGGAGTGACCATGCACAACGGGAGCCTCAAACAACTAGTCACCAAATTCGCAAAATTGTATGTCTGTCTTTCACTAGAGTGGTCATCCATCCTTGTCCCCACAATCGAAGTTTCATGATATTTATATTCACCCCAAGATTCCTTTTTCTTTTTCTTTTTCTTTTTTATTTTTGCCATTTCCCTCAATTTCATTAAATCACATCAGTATACACTTCAAAACTAATGCTTCATCCATTTGCCATTTCAAAAAAAAATTAAAAGAAAGAAAAAGAAAAAAGCTTCATCCACTTGCATGACACTAGGCATACTGGTATTATGAGACACCTTGTCCAAATAGTCATTGGAAAGCAACCTTCAATGAAGCCAATAGCCCTTCTTTCATCCAATATAACTTGTATGATGTCCAAACATGATAGTGATTAAAAATGGGGCCAGCAGTTCCCCTTGTATGATGTTCCTCAAATTGTGAGAAATAACCTCCAAAGCCCAAAGCTTCCAAGTATCATAATTGATAAGGGCGAAATTCGGAAAAAAATCCCTTCTAATAATTTTGAACAGTGGCATCATAAAAAACCATATGGTGTTATGCAATAAATTAGACAACATTTCCACTTATTAATTACGTGCGTGTTAAGTGGTTACAGGAGGTAACTCGCGAGGAATAAGCCTTCTTATGGTCTAAATTTATGTAACATTAATAATATAGAAGAAGGCTAAGAAATCTGATGCTTACATCAACATCACTTGTAGGGAGATAGAGTCCGGTCTTAAATGATCCAAACACCTCCACCTACACAAATATAAAAAAAAAAATTGATCATGCATGCTAGAAAAGCTTCTTTTCTTATATTTACAATTACACAAATATACGAAATAAGTAGTAAAGGGAAATATTCAAAAATAGCTAAATAAAATCAATAGGCTATCTTTTTATTACGAAAATATTCAAGCTTGAGAAGATATACCAGTATTCTGTACATACTTTGGAAAGTGGCCATATATATCTGATGACCTCCGAAACATAATTAATTGCAGCTGAGCGTGATTCTTGTTCCTCAGGTGTTGGAGAAATGAATTCACAAAAATCAACTATCTCTGAAATAATTGTACGGACAAATTGAAAATGTATTAGATGGTCATCTTCAATAAAGGAACAAGAAAGCTAATTGGAATGACAAATAGACCAATGGCTACCCATCAAAGAGAAAATGAAGGACGGATTCAAGTCAACATACAAATAAATAAACCTTAATGCGTATGCTATATAGATGAGCCATCTTATAATTGGCACATTAACTTGCGATATTTCAAAAAATATGAAAGGGGTTAAGTTAAGCCCTGATATTTGGTGAAAGAGGATAAGTTAATCCCTGATATTTGGTGAGTACTGTATGGCATTGCAAGTAACAAACAAGAACCGAATTTTTGCATGCATGTCATTTGTAGTTGAACTTAAATTTCTGTAGTTACTAGAAATCAAATCAAAACAAGGAAACCAAAAAAAGCATATACCACAGATTCATGGTAAAATTGCAAGTTTAAGTTTTTTGTGATGTCGATGTATTGCCAATTCTTATTCCAAAATAAAAAAAGCCTCCCAATTTACAAATTAATTGAAGTGTAAAAAAATCTGAAATTGAAAGCCTCTTATAATTTTTTTCAATGAACCAACGGATATCCCTTATCTCTTCAACAACCCAACACCAACGAACACAGGAATCACAACTATAGTATGAATGGGTAAGCAACAGCATAAAAGCATGATTAACCGTCATATCTAAGCATAACATGAAACATGGATGATTCAACAAATATTACAATCATCGCTGCAGGGATTCAGAGATGGAGAAAGTGAGTAGCATGGGGATTCAGAAAGCATGGCATAAACATAGGGTGTTGAGAGAGAGGGAGATGGCGTAACACGGGGATTCAGATAGGTTGTAGAGAAGGGGGCGGGAGAGAGAGAGTGGAAGATAAATAGAGGTAGAAAGAGATATTGCAATGAGCAGCTGCACACTTTTATTCCGCACAAACATAAAGCTTTTGACACTGCACGCGGGAGTAGAAGGAGATATGGAAGAGAGAGATAAAAGTGAGAGACAGAGATCAGGGTAAAGGGAGAAAGACAGCGAGGCGGAGATAGAGTGAGATTACAACAACTGACCTTTATGCAACTGAAGCATGGGACTTCTGATACGACCTCCGGCTCGAGAGACACCTTTTTTGGAAGAAGGCCGCTTCAAAGACAAATCTGCATATGAAGCAGGCTGAATTGAAGGCGGGTCCTTCAATTCCAGATAGATGGGCTCTGGTTCTACAACGTCGGAGAGAGAGAAGTAGTCGAGCTCCGGTGTGGAGTTCTCCACACAAGACTCCAAGCTCTCTGCAACTATCTGGTTCTTGAACACCGTGTAGGAAGAAGGCAGGTCTTCATGGTGAGATTCTTCACCCAGAGGATTTAGGGTTTCGTAGAAAAGCTCCGGTGTTGTTTCAGTTGATGCTGTGACAGTGAGATCCACTACAGGCACAGGGCGATAGCCCCGCTCCGCCTCCATGACGGAACCCTAGAGAGAGAGAACGGGGTAGAGAGAGAGATCACGGGCTAGTGTGCTGAAATATTATGCTCTCTCGGGCTTACTATAACTCGAGCTTAGTATCGTCGGGGAACTTTTTAGGGGAAGTTATTAGACTTTAATCCCCATCGGAATCTTGGCGGGTGGGTTTTACCGTGCGCCTGCGGGATCAAAATGTAGCTCCCATGGGCAGAAGACCCCCTCTTGCGATTCTTGATGATTCTCCCGATTTTGAATTTTGGGATTAGAAGTGTAGCTCCCTTGGGCACAAGACTTGTGACGATTATTCTGACTTTGGATTTTGGGATTCATTTTATAATACCATCGGATGATTATTTTTTCAAGAAATTTTGGTTTTATTGGTCGTTGGAAATCTACAACCATTTTTTTTTTTTTTTATGGCGCTTATAAGGACGCGATATAAAGACATTGAAAATCTACAATATGTTGTTTACTTTTTTTTATAAGGTGGCTACAATTATTTTTATCCCTTAGATTTCAAATTGGATGATTATAAGAGTATCATTGAAAAGACTCAAAATTCAAAAATAATAATTTATTGGACTTAACGATTGGCCCCACCCTAATGAGTAGGAGTGTTTGTAACCTCTTTGTAATAAAGATAAATAGTCTCATTATATACCATCACGTAATTAAAAGAAAATGTTTATATAAAACAGAGGCTCTAAACAATCACGCCCACCTCAAAACTTTCACTATAAGGGGTTGTTTTGATGCCCAAATATCCTCAAATTGATCATCTCTACATCAATACGCATTGATATGAAAAAAAAGTGGATTTCCAAGTTTTGGAAATAATATCTCTTGTAACACATATTTTTACCATTAATTTTCATTAATTTTTAAGTTTTCATATATCCACTCTATTTACACTATTTTTTAAGCTTTAATTTTATAATTAAAAATAAAAATATATTTTAAGGCTATCACAAAGATTTATAGTATTGAAACCACAATTCTCGATATTATTTTAAAAGTTTTACTTTGATTTCTTAGAGCTTCAGCTCTATACAAACCACACCCATAACTAAAGCCCTTCATTTCCGCTTTCTAAGCATCTCCCATAACATTTTTAATATCACTATATGAATTTCAATATTATTATTTTTTGCTACTACCCTCAAGTCCAAAAGGTATTATTTTTTATCAAAATACCCCCATTTTTACCATGTTTATGTCACCTTGTTTTTGTGTCGGATCAAAAAATGAGTCTAGTCTGGCATAAAATAAGCGTTTGGCTAGGTCTGGCCCATTGATTTCATAGAGCCAATTCAAGTCCATCACAAAACATTGCTGGATCGGCACAATGAAAATGTGGCTATTAGGCGGATTGAGGGATATTATGATTCTAAATCTATTAACTTTTTGACTGGTGGGAGTACCAAGAAAAATAGTATTAAAGTTTTTTTAGTGTTTTTCAAAAGACATGGGGAGACAATGTTTAGAAAATAGAGCCAAGGGGGTTTCAATAACAAAAATAATAATAATTAAAGATTAGATTTCACCATGTCAACCGGTTTAGGATAACGCGTCGACTTACACACCTATTCATATTTCGGATTGTTGTAAACTAAATCCATCTTACAAATAAAATTTTGACTTAAAATTTTACAAGTCGATAATCTCAACCATCATGAACATGAATTTGACGGACAAACATTTAAAACGCAAAAATATGTACTTTTAAGTTTCTTTCACCGTTCAAGTTAATTATTTGCAAATCGTGCACTACTTTTTGGGTTATAAATTATGGATCTAATACGAAAATGCGTCTCTTAAAACCGTCCCTTAAATGGGTGGGTTCGAATAAAACCTCATTTAATTGACCTTATTTAATTTTTTCCCTTTTCAAAAGGTTGGTGGTGGGATGGAGTAGGTTTAGCGTCCAAAAGACTTCTGGCCCTGGTGTTATCGTCAAATGTTATTAAAACAACAGTACAAAATCATTAATGGAACCAAATCATCCCATTCAACTTTATTATGGTTACTTTTTAATTTTTATTTCACTTTAAGTTACTTCAATGAAGTTTCTATTAAGGCCTAGGCTCTATGAAAATAAAATAGAGCCTCCCCTCAAATCTTTGTATAAAGCATTTTCGGGAAAACCTCCATAGGCTCTAAAATAAATTTCCAACACCATCAAATAAATTCAAAAAATTTAAAAATGGTATAAATGGACAGCTTAGATAATTTGTTGCAATATACGTTAATTTTAGAGCTTTAAATCTTAATTTTTTTACAAATATAATGTTTAAATCGAGATAATCGATAAAGGTTTTTCAATGCTTGAAATGCAATTTCCAATTAGTTATGAGGCGAGGCTTTACTCATTATGATAAAGCTGCAGCCCTATCAAACCATTTTCGCATATTATATACTAAAATTTACTCAACCACCCTTATCCAAGTTTGGGAACCCTAACTGAGCAAGCACATTCCGATAATTTGGTTCTAATTAAACTATCCGAGCTAAATATAAAAATTACCTATAGGTTTTTAAAGTTATAAATACAAATTTATTGAACTATAATACCTAGTTGTTCAAGATTAATAACATTGGCCTAAAATATTTTTCACTGCAAACCCTTTATCGCATTTCGCTTACCCCTAACGATGAGGCTCACTATTATCATTTGTCTTGAACCATTTGAGCAGTAAAACTACCAATAATGCCTTTACTTGTTGAGGTTCTAATTATGAACATTACAATTCGATCATGAGGTGTTGAAGTTAAATGAAATTTTAATAATCAATATTATGAGTTGAATAGGTCGAGTCGCATATTAATATGTATGAGTTGAGTTTCAGCCGATGGTTCAATATTAAGTCAAAATCGTACCCAAACAACCCGTAACCTTGGATATGCACGTTGTTTTTGAGGATCTATAAGATGCGATGTACATTTTACGAAGGTATATATTAATTTTCATTTAAAGCCCAACATTACCTAATAGTTCACTCTCATCTTTATCATGCTTTGCATTTCTTTTTGTACACGTTATAAAATAGGAGTTCCACAATTTTTTTCAAAGGTATATATATTTGCTAGGGGTGGCATCGGGTCCGGATCCCACACGGACCCAAAAATATAGTGTGAGGCTTAGACCCTATCGAACTCGATCTAAAAATTAAAATATCTATGTATTTAATTATATTTAAATATGTTATATATATTGGGACCCGAAAAACATTACTGGACCCGGATACGACCGTACCCGATTTGACCTCAACCCAAATAGTATTTGGATCCAAGATTTGGACCTGAACCCGACTCAGTGGATCCAATTTTTTGACCCATACCCGGACCTAGATCGGGTCTAGGATTTAAGAACCCTCTTAAATGGGAAAACAATAATACCAAAAGTTGGATTCGGAGAAGACGAGCCATAATACGAAAAATAAAACATGAAACACACATGTCACAAGAACATAAAGATTTTGGGTGGTTTTCCCTTTTAGTGATATAAAATGTCACTAAAAGTGTTGGGAAGTGTCAATTGCCAATTTTGGATGTGGAATAGCGGTTTAGCCATGTATATTATGGCTCGTACTCTGCCTATTTTGTTCATCTATTTTTTTTCTAGCCAGATGCACGATCTTGGTGGAACACAACTTTTGCATGTAAGAGGATTTGGTATCAAAGCACATTGGTTAAAGCTAGTGTTTGTGTATTTGGTTGAAGAAAAAACACGTGACAAAGTATGTCAATTTTATTTGAGGTGGATAAATATGATGGCAAACACATTCTTACAAGCAAAAATGGTAAAGGAATTCGTTTGGTAAAATATGATAAATTCATTAGGGAAAATTACAAAAAACTCCTAAAATGAGACTTTCTAGACAACCTACCCCCAATAATGTTTTTTTTAGCAACTTTTACTTCAAATTGAACATTTCTAGCGATATACCCCCAAATCAAAAAAACATATTTTTTAACGAAAATACTCATAATGTGGGACTATCCCCATTTTGTGCTGGACCGCATGCCCAAATTACCAGACCACCCCTATTTTGTGTCAAATTGCATGCTTTCCATAAGCCCAAAGTGCCGGAGCACTCCTATTTTGTGCCGGATTGCCCCTATTTTGTGTCGAACTGCATGCTTTCTGGAAGCAATATACCGGACCGCCCCTATTTTGTGCCTGACTGCATGCTTTCCAAAAGTAAAGTGTCGTACCCTCCCATTTTGTGCTAGATCGCATACTTTCCAAAAGGTAGTTTGGTCTTCACTTTACCATTGTTATGGCTTGGGCGTATTTGTTGACAAAGTTAAATTTAGGGTAAAAGGTGAGAAAAAAGAAGTTTGTTTGGGGTTAAGTTTACATAGGAAGTCTATTCATGGGAGTTATTTGTAATTTTTTGAATTCATAAAGCTATTGAATGATATTGGCATGGTAAGCCGATGTTTTTTATATCAATGTGGAGATTATTGAATATAACGATATCCAAAATCACCCTCATAAAAAAATTACATATCATGTGTGATTGTGATTGATATTGATAAAGTTCTGATGATTTTGATATTAAGTTAGAGATTATTGAATATAATGATATCCAAAATCACCGTCATAAAGAAATTACATATTACGTGGGATCGTGACTTATATTGATAAATTGTCTAAAGAAACTCTAACTAAAAAAGATGAGGACTTAGAGATATAAGTAACATTTATGGAAAGTTCTCTATTTAATATGGATTCATAGTTTTTTTTTTTTAAGAACTTTATCAATATCAATCACAATTCCCCGTAATATGAAATATATTTATTTATTCATTTGCAATAAGATATTTATACATTTCAGTATTTTGGGAATTTCAAAAAAGCAGTTATAGTGAAAACTAAGTAATGAAACGAGTTACTATGAAGCAAGTAATCGAATTTAATAACAGAGTACAAAATACAAGTCATTTATTCTTTTACATCAATCTCACACCTTACATGGAAAAAAAAAACCAACAAAAAAAATAAAAATAAAAAAAAGAAGAGAAACCCAAATACACCAAAAGTAAGAGGGGTGAGGAAACAAACAATCCACTAAATTTAAACCTATTTAAAAAAAATAAATGGGAGAGAAAGGCGTTGTTTTCTGTTAGCAAGGTATGGAATCAGTGAACCATCTAATAATCTTGATAGGGAGCTTTATGAGAGCCATGGCCAGATTAGCCAGCCCTGCACAACATATGCAACAGGGGCAGATACAACTCAATACAGACCTGCAAAACCAAACACCCCAAACCACTTCAGATCAGAAAGTCAATATCAATGGAACTCTCTCTAGAAATTTGAATTCCAGATTTATCTTCTCATGTAACCAATGCAGTAGGAGTGTAGGACTCTCTCTCTAAAATCTAAGAACTCCATCTCTCTTCCCTCTCTGTGGAGGAGAGGAGGGAAAGGAAAAAGGATACCTGCCCAAATTCAAACTCTCTCTCTTCAAACAAAGAGAAGAATCCGAAACAGAGGCATGTTTAATCAAAGGAATTTCAATTATTTCCATCCGTAAAAGAAGAGAAGATTCAAATTCACTCTCTACGGAAATAACCTACCCAAATTATTTGCAGCTAAAATTCAAAATCAAACGCCCCAAACCAATTCAGATCACAAAGTCAATATCAATGAAACTCTCTCTAGAAATTTGAATTCCAGATTTATCTGCTCATCTAACCAATGTAGTAGGACTATCTCTCTGTAACCTAAGAAATTCATCTCTCGCCTCCCTTTCGACGGAGGAGGTTAAGGAAAAAGGATACCCACCCAATTTATAACTTCAGAACTTCAAGAAATTCAAACTCTCTTGCTTCAAACAAAGACAATAATCCGAAACAGATGAAAGTTTAATCTAAAGAATTTCAATCCTTTCCATTGGTAAAAGAAGGAAAAAAAAAATCAAATTCTCTCTTTAAAGAAAAAAAAATCGAACTTATTGTTCGCATTCTTTACCGATGGCATAGATCTTCATAAAAGTTATATGTGAGATTATAGTTTTTATGTAGATCTACGCCAAATTTGATGGTGATTATTTAGGATCTTATAGAAAAATCTCGTAGGATGATTACTCATTATTTGAGTCTTAAAAAATTAGTTTTCTCTCTCTAAAGAAAGATGAGAAATACATACCCAATGACCCATACGACGGCACCCACGAGCGATAGGAGCAGAGCAACCAGAGCAAAGGGCAGACCGATCAGAAACCCAAGAGGCCGGCAATCCCCCATCCCTCTCTCTCCGCGTCCCTCTTTCTCTCTCTAAGATGAGTTTTTCTGTCCACAAGTTTCACTTGCTTTCTCTAGGTTTCACGGGTGCGCAGCGGTTCCGCGTGATAACCGTTGCCGTGTGTTATTCTCGTTTGGGGTTGGCTACTATTATATAATTCCGAATAGCGCCGGTGTTGAAAGCTCGAAACTGAGAAAGAGAGGGATGGGTTTTTAGATTTTAGTGTGAGAGAGAGAGAGAGAGAGAGGGGATGGGGTTTCCTACGGCTTTCCGCCCCGTTTGACCCCGTAATGTTTTGCGACTGCACGCGTTTCAGACGATTGGGCTAACAAATAAAATTATTGAGATTTATCTTTTAAAAAGAATAATTACTAGGGCTTAGGAATTTTTACGTTCGTACAGCGTAAAATCCTTGACTTTACTTTTTGGTTTACAAGTCGATGCTTTTACCACGTTGTCCTACTCTCACTTTTTATTATTTTTTTTCTAGTTTGGGCTGTGGCTGGACATCTCAAATATCGAGCTACTTTTTTTTTAAAAAAAAATTATTCGACCCAGTTTCTACGCGGCCAAGCCCGTATATGTAAAAATGTAGGGCTCTTAATAAATCTATTTTTTAGATGAAATTTAATACTTAATTTTTAAAGACATATAATGTCTAACATGGAGATCATGAATATGAATAAATAAATAAAATTTGAAAACTAAAAATAATAATTCTAGTCAAATATTTGAAGCGTTAGTTTCCATTGTTTTTAAATGGAATATCAACTTCTATCCATCTTTAAAATGGATGCTTTACACTTTCTTAATAGCATACGTAAAAATGCGGTCTAGCCCGCATGAAACAATTTTACTTTCTAAATTTTTATGTTTAAACTGTTGTGGGACGGTCCAATATCTAAAATATCGAACTACCCTATTTGTAGAGCAATTCAATAACTGCAACATCATACTATCCTACATTTTTGGCTCGTCCTTATTTATAGGGCGGTCCGATATTTATAACACCGGACCGCTATTTTCATTGTGTTTTATATTTTAGCCATCCAAACTTGCGATATCAAAGTAGTTCAAAAGTGGTACGATTTCGAAATATCGTATTGCTAAAATATAAAAAAATACAAAAAAAAGTTTGTAACATTTACTTGCCCCATAGAAGACGTTGGGTCTGATGTTGTACTTACTTGAGTGCCTACTTGATTCGATACATTGAGTATCGGACCATTCCACAAATGTAATTTTTTAAAAATAATAAATAATAAATAAGTAGTTTGATGTTTGAAACATCGACACGGCTGTAAATTTGGGAAAAAAATAGAGTGAATATGTGGGGAGCAGGATGTCATGGTAAAATTACTGAACTTATAAGCCAAAAGGTAAATACAACAATTTTACTAATTAGTAGGTAAAAATCCTTCCAATTTAAACTATTTTTTATTTCCTATAATTATGGTATATGTTTGGTTAAAAAACAAACACACCAATATTTAGCCAGCTTTAACCCATCAAACCCATCATTTTTACCATTTAGACCAATTAGACAAAGTTTTACATATTTTTGAATCTATTACATACCTTTTAATTATTATTACTATTTTTTACTTTTGTTAAATTTAGTTCTGACAAATATATTAGTTTTGATTAGATCATATCCCTCACTGGTTCAACGACCGGTCCAATAATGACAACACTCGTTACAATTGCAATGGTTTAAAACTTGGGCTACCAACAAATACCTATTGGGCTTTGGTTAGATATCCACGTGTTCGAGCTTCTTGATTGGTTGGAATGTTCGAAAACTTGATTTGGTCGTAAACATGTGGACATTGAAAAATCAGAAAAGAAATAGTCTCTATTCAATTTTTCAAGGAGCATAGGACGAGACTTAAAAATGTTTATATCGAGTTATTTTCTCAAACATCAACCGCAAATGATTTTCCTACTTCTTTGTAGAAGACTTGACTTAATCAATATTGTGGGTAAGGCTTAGAAAACATGTTATTCCCCATCGATAATTGCCAATAATTGAAGTCGTAGGTCTCTCTTTTATATTGATACAGAGGTTTCCACCAAGCATTTGACTAAGCATAGCAAGAGAGCATGTTGCAGGTAATTAAGAGTAACTAGTAATTCAAAACGTGGGTCTTCTTTCTGTACGGTCGGTGATCTAGCTGAGTATCTCTGCCCAAAAAAAAAAATGGAGCCGAATTGACAGGTCCCAGACATAATCAAATTATTATTTTTTAGACAATTTGGATAAGAATTCGGGCCATTTTGGTCCAAATCATCATTTTTAAAGGATATTGTTTATGTGAGTCATCCGACTCACTTATTATTGTGCGGTCCCTTATCTATCTAAGGTCCATCTCTAAGATGGATGTCAATAAATATTACATCACTAAAAGTTAAAATAGCCGGTGAAGAAAATAATTCAAAAAATAAAATGCTATTTATATTATTTTAAAAATAAAAATAGCAAAATTATATAAATCATCATGGTTGAGATTTCTAGAAGCTAAAAGTTTAGATTGAAAATAAACTTTTGAAATGTATTTTGTAGGGAGACTGCACAAGAATAGTGTGAGTCGGCTGACTCACCTAGCACTTTTCCTTTTTTAAAAACTTTAGATGGTACACAATCCCTTATTATATGAGATAGAGATGATCACTGATTTAAGTTTTTGATGAAGTATAGCACATTGGTAGTACAAACCAATGGGAAATGGGCATTATAAATCAATCCACATAAAACTACTTCTAAACTCTCAGCATTTTTGTCATGGGCTTTTTCTTATTAATCAGGGACCACCATAGATGGGATGGATGAGACGCTACTCTTAAATATATATAGAAAATGACCCTTCTCATTAGAATAGTCCCTTTCGTCACTAATGAGGGAAAATACGGATGTGACCATGGACTCATGGATAAAAAGGTGGGGTGGGCTAACATATTATAATGTTTCACAAAGGGAAAAAGGAAAAAATTAATTTTAGTATTTATAAAGTTTAACACATTGCATTAGTATGCAAAATGTGGCATAAAATAAATGTAAAAATATAGAGACCATTTATGTTTGATACATGGAAGTCACAATTAATATTAACTATTGGATGTAAGATAGGGCATATGCATTTGTTTCATTTACTATGCTCAAAGTTTGAACGATTTTTTACGAACTTTGTAACTCACTAGAGCTATCGGATTTTACATCAGATGCTTATAAGTAGTTGTGACTTCTTTGTATCAAACGTAAATAGGCTCATATGATACAATCCCAACATAAATATAAGCCATCAAGGTATCAGAAGCACATGAAAAATTGAAGATTATTTCGATACTAGAAAATTTGATCTCTTGACTTCAAGATGCACTTATATAAATAAAAAACAAATAAATATAGAAATAGGGTTTTAGACTATCATAGGTGGTTCTAGCACCAAAACTACATCATTCGACATCGTAGAAGGTGACCTCGTTTTGATTGCCTAAGATTGATGCCGTATGAAAACTATATCCTTGAATATAACGCACTGATGTTTGTTGTTGCTTGCTAGAAAAAGCACACCATAATCCTTAGTTGTATTTTGTTTGGATATGATTAAGTGGCAAAAAGGCTTTATTCGATGCGTTTACTATCATTGATAAATTGCTATTTTAATCAATTTCATCATGTTGGATGTACTTGTTTTCATTGATAATTCACTATTTTAATTATATTATTTTTAATAATGTATTATATTCAATTTGATAATGTCCATCATAAAATTATTGAAAATAAACTTACAGGCAGTTTTACAAAGGAGTTTACCTTTCTTAAAAGGGTGTGGTTTCTATAAGGCTGCAGCCTTAAACAATCCAATTAAGGTGCACCTTCAAATTTTATTATAATATATAATTTTGTTGTAAAATATTTTTAGGAATATCTTATTAAGGGAAAAGTTTATATAGAGCCGAGGCTCTAAACAATCAAATTGGAGCCAACCACAAAATTTTCACTATAAAAGGTTGTTTTGATGCGTAAATATCCTCAAATTGACCATCTTGACATCAAGATGTATGGACATAAGGAAAAAATGGATTTCAAGTTTTGAAAATAGTGTACTTTGTAACGCATTTTTTGACCGTCAATTTTCAAGATTTTGAAGTTTTCATAGATCTGTCGATCTACACTATTTTTTGAAACTTTAAACTTTATAAATAAAGATGAAAATATATTTTAAAACTATCACAAAGATTTCCAGTATTTAAACCACATTTCTCGAACGTAGGCTCTGATTTGCTTTATTTAGAGCATAGGCTCTATACAAACCGCACCCTTATCTTAAAATCTTTTTTAATATCCAAGTAGAAATTTTTAAATTCCAATTTTTTTTTAAAATCAAGTAGATCTAAAAACATATGAAAAATTAAAAAATTGACGGTCTAGATAATATGTTGCAAGATGCACTATTTTTGGGACTCAATTTTTTTATTTTTTTTCATATTCATACATCTCAATGTCGAGATAATCAATTAGACAGTTTTTCAACATTAAAACAACCTTTCCAATAGATTTTTTGAGGTGCATATGTAATTCTACATTTTAAGGTTGAAACCTTATATAAACTTGTTCCTTTTTTAAAAAACTATGTTTTTTTATTAAAAAACAAACTTATTGAAAATCATATATATTTGGCCATAGATAACTAAAAGTAGCCGAAAATAGCAAATCCAGTTTCTATGGATGATATTTCACGAGATTTCCATAAAAAAAACTCACTTAAACTTCTTGTGGATAAAAAATTGATGTGGTTTATTAGGCTACACCATTGGTGTATACCCTTAAAGTCATCAATATTTTTTGATACTTAGATACCTTTACTAGTAACTTTTTGTTTAGGGGTATTTTAAGTAATTAATAAAAAATAAATTAAAAATTCATAATAGAAACAAAAATATTTATTAACAAGACATCACCAACCAGATGCATTAATTATTTTTTAACTACTAATATAATGTCATTATTTTATTATAAAAATATCCATTATATGCTTCTAAATAACAAAAAATATTATACTCAACTTTAAGGGGTAAATACCAAACTGCCCAATTATAGGTGAGAATCGGGCCGAACTGCTCAATTATGGGTGAGAATCGGCCCCTCACATCACCGGCTTATGATAAACTAGAGAGATTTCAAGTTAAACGACAAATTAAACATTAAATTAAATAATATTGGCATGATACAAGATATGTACCAAATAACTAACAAGATAATATTATTCAAATTTTATGAGTACGTTAATTTTCATAAAGATAGTCTATACCTAACAAGGTTAGCTATCATCCAAGCATACCCTAGCCATCGATGTAAACAATAGATGGCTGGAGATGCAAGATCCGATGGTTGAAGGGATTGTTCATATTTGAATAAAACATGAACAGGTATTACACTGTAGAATCCAAGAACCATTCCATAAAAAGCAGAGGGCGGCGGAGCGTTAGGTTCAGAGCTGTTTCCCTGAAGGCCACAACTTTTCACCCCAGCTTCTACGTTTACTTTTAGCAGCTGGTATCATATATTTTCCTTTTCTTTACAGGGTTAAATCTCTCAAACCTGGAGCATCTCAAAGCAGTATCTCTCTCTCTATCTCTATTCTCTCTCTCTCTCTCGGCCGAAGCTTTGCTGATCCAGTTTTAGAATAATGGCTTCTGGATCTTCATATTCTCCAAAGGCGGTTTCTGGCTCCAGAGACTTAGGTTTTGGAGGGGATGATGTGCTATCCCCTTATCTGGTTTACTCTTCTCACCATAATCTCCTTCGCAATAGCAACAGCGATCGGGGCCTTTCGTCTCAACAGTTAATCTCGACTGGCTCTCAAGACAGTGTATGCAAGCCCATTCTTCTATTTTTTTGGCTTGATTGGTGCTGTATTTTAGGTTAAACTATTGAAATTAAATGCTGTATTTTCATCCATTGACTCTACCGTATAGTCGATCTTTCATGTCATCTAGTCTCTCTCTCTGCTTATTGTTTTGCTGCTTTTTTGTTAATCTCAAGTCAATTGATATGTCTCATCCATGGCATTAGTTACCCCCTCATGTTTACCGTAAATTTTGTTCTAAAATTCTCATTCTGGGGCACTTTAAATAATAAATTTCTATTGGGAAGATGGATATGCATCTATAATATTTTAGTAATTCTGCACAGCTTTGAAAAATTCGTACCAAATAATGGAACGTCCATGTGGTTAAATTCTTATGTTAAGAGTCATGTGGAGACTTCTTCAAAAACTGTGCAAGACGTATTCTTTATGTCCCTACTATGAGATAGAGAGGCCTTCAATCAACTTGATATCAACTTTATTGATATAGAGAAAGCTTTTGATAGAATTCATTGAGATTCGATTTGGTGGGTGTTGGAAAAGAAATGAGTCTCCAAACACTATATCAACTTGGTGAGAGAGATGTACGATGGAGCACTATCTAGCGTGCGAACAACTAGTGGAGAAACGAGTGAGTTTTCAGTGACAATAGGTATATATCAGGGATTAGCATTGAGCCCGTACCTCTTTGTCTTAGTTATGGATGGCTTAACTAGGCACCTGCAAGATGAGGTACAATAGTGCATGTTGTTTGTAAATGACTTAGTTTTGATTGATGAGACCCGAATTGGCGTCAACACAAAGTTAGAACTTTGGAGGAATGCTCTAGAATCTAAAAGGTTTAAAATTAGTTGGACTAAAAAAGAGTATATGGAATGCAAGTTTCGTAATAATAGGAGTAGAGATGAGGAAGTAAATAAGATTGATAGTCAGGAAATACCAAAAAGAGCGCCCTTTCGATATCTTGGGTCGATAATCTAAGAAAATGGAGAGATTGAAGAAGATGTTGCAGACAAAACTAGAGTTGGGTGACAAAGTGGAGATGTGCAACCAAAATTTTGTGATCGCCGCTTATCGATGAAGCTGAAGGGCAAGTTCTATAGGACAATTGTGAGACTAGCTTTGCTCTATGGGACGGAATGTCGGGAGGTCAAAAAATGATATACCCATAGAATGAGTGGAGCGGAGATGAGGATGTTCAGATGGATGAATGGAAAGACAAGAAGGGATGAAATTTGAAATGAATACATTCTGGTGTGGCACCGATAGGCGATAAGATGAGAGTGAGTAGACTTAGGTGGACTAACCATGTGCGGTGCAGACCTAGTGCAACACCTATTAGAAGGTGCGAGTTAGTTCAAGTGGAAGGCTCAAAAAAGGCAAGGGGTAGGCCCAAAATGACAGAGTTGGAAGTAGTGAGATAAGATATGGGAACTTATGGCCTCACTGAGGTTATGGCCCTTAATAGAGCAGAATGACAGATCAGGATTCATATAGTCGACCCCAATTAGTTGGGAAAAGGCTTTGACGATGATGATGATATTATATTCAAGTTCATCAATGGGCATTTACATGGGGAAAAACCTATTGTGATAAATTTATTGTTACTTGTGAGCAGATTTGAAGAAAATGTCATTTCATCAAAAAAATTGGCTAATAACAATTTTTTTGGAAAGAACAACTTTTGAGATATCTCAAAAGTTTGAAAAGACAAAATTCGAATAAAAAAACTAACTAATAACTGATTTTGAAACATAGATTTCAGAAATGTCAGGTAATTTTCTGGCATGGAGGCAAGGGACACTTAGAGTGCTATGGGATCATTATAGTGTTTAATTATATTTTATATTATGAAGTGACAAATTTTATGCATTTATGATTATAGAAGCGTATTTTTGGTCACAATATCATATCTAGAGGAAAAAATCTCCGAGAAACCATTTACAACAAGAGTAGCACAGGAAATTATCTATGCAGAAACTTCCTCTTGTGTCCTTCTAAAGCTTTTCCACATTAACCTTTCCCCCCTTCTTGGAGATCTCTATCTTTTGCTTAGTAGCATCTCATTGTATAAGGGGGCGGAAGATCCTTTCCCCCCTTCTTGGAGAGCTCTATCTTTTGCTCAGTAGCATCTCATTGTATAAGGGAGCGGAAGATAAGCCATTAAAACGATACCATTATCATTCTTCATCTGAAGTTGACTTATAAACTTGAGCCACGGATTTAATGTAACCCATGCATGTCACAGTACAGCAACTCGAGTCATTACATAGAGCTATAAGTGCATAACATTGTGAACCATAACTTCGGTTTACGTGTAAATAGTACAGAGCAGTATTGTATCCATTTGACTCCATACTCTAACGCAGTGAGAGAATAACGTAGGAGTCTCAACAAGTGAGCTTGGACATGTTCATGCTTGGTTGCATTGGTGCAGAACCAGCTTGATACGGGCTTGAGCTGGAGCCACCCTGCTTCAGCTCGGCTTGATTGAGGGAAGGAAAACTTGAGCTTGCCTTGTTTGGCCTTATTAATTCAAAGATGAACCTTGTCAAGCCATACTGTGCCAAGAGCAACCAAGTTGTAAACAAGCTAAAAAAAATTAGAAGTTGAGGTAAATACACACACACACACACACACACACACACACACCCAAACAAGCTCAAGTGAAGCTATTAATTTGAGCTTCTTAACTAAATGTGATCGATCCACCAGTCAC